GAGACCAGCCTGGCCAACATGCTGAACATTCTCTCTACTAAAAACTACAAAAATCAGCCAGGCATGGTGGTGGCACTCAACGTCCTGTAAGCCAGGTACTTGGGGAGGGCTGAGAGAGCAGACTGAGTGAACCTGACCAGGAGGCAGAGGTATCAGTGAGTGGAGATCTGGCCACTGTACTCCATCCTGGGTTGACAGAGATGAGGACTCCATCCTCAAAAAAAAAAAAAAGAAAAAAATAAAAATAGAAAAGGGTCAGGCTAGGTGGCTTATGTCTGTAATCTCAGCACTTTTGGGGAGGTTGAGTTGGAGGTGGATAATACCTTGAGCTCAGGCGTTCAGACCAGTCTGGCCAACATGGCGAAACCCCATCTCTACTAAAATACAAAAATTATCTGGGGCATGGCTGGGGCACGATGGCTCATGCCTGTAATCTCGCAACACTTTGGGAGGCTGAGGCCGGCGTGGATCACCTGAGGTCAGGACGTTCGAAACAGGCCGGCCAACATTGTGGGGAAATGCCCCATCTCTACTAAAAAATACAAAAATTCAGCCAGGTCATGGTGCACGATGCTGTAATCCCAGTCTACTTCGGAGGAGACTGAGACGCAGCAGAATTCATTGAACCCGGCAGGAGGCAGAGGTTGTAGTGAGCCGATATCGGCCACTGCACTCCGAGTCTGGGGTGACAGAGATGAGACCTCCGTCTCAAAAAAAAAAAAGAAAAAAAACAAAAAAAACAAAAAAACAAAACAAAGGCTGGCGGTGCAGTGGCTCACGCCTGTCATCTCAGCACTTTCGGAGGCTGAGGTGGGTGGATCATCTGAGGTCAGGAGTTCGAGACCAGCCTGGCCAACATGGCGAATCCCTATCTCTACTAAAAATACAAAAGTACGGGCACAGAAGGGCAGGATGGCTCACGCCTGTAATCCTAGCACTTTGGGAGGTTGAGGCGGGCAAATCACCTGAGGTCAGGAGTTCGAGACCAGCCTGGCTAACATCGTGAAACCCCGTCTCTACTAAAAATACAAAAATTAGCTGGGTGTGGTGGCATGTGCGTGTAGTACCAGCTGCTTGGGAGGCGGAGGCAGGAGAATCGCTTGAACCTGGGAGGAGGAGGTTGCAGTGAGCCGAGATTGTGCCATTGCACTCCAGTCTGGGCAACACAGCGAGACTCCATGCCCGTCTTCCAAAAAAAAATTATCCGGGCATCGTGGCGCATGCTTGTAATCCCAGCTACTTGAGGGCTGAGGCAGTAGGATCACCTGAACCTGGGAGGCGGAGGTTGCAGCGAGCTGAGATGGTGCCACTGCACTCCAGCCTGAGCAACAGAGTGAGACTCCGTCTCAAACGAAAAAAAAAAAGAGAGAGAGAAAGAGCTTTGAGATCCAAGGAGGGAGTTATGAAACTGATAATGCCCAAGACTGAGGCGTATCCTTTTCAGAAGGCAGGCATATATTCAGGTGGCAAACTACAGCACCTCTATTCTTGGCTACAGACCAAAAAATAGCCCATCCAACTTGGTCCCACTGAGAATATTAAACTTACCCTGTAAGCATCTCATATTCCTCCCAGTCACAGTTTGGGAGAGGCCCTGCCCTTTCACAGGGCTGGAGGAAGATACCCATTTATAGTCATGCAGGCAGGTTTGCAAGACCGTAGCCTTTACTGTGGTCCCTGAAGCAGTTCCATGACAGTTCAAGGCCAGTTCTGCCTACATAGAAACCCACACAGTGACCTGGCAAAATCCTCTTTGATGCTCAGTGAAAACCATACTCAATGACATCCTGATGTAATGCTTACCATTTGCAGACATGACTACAGAAACCTGCCTAGTGACTGCCCTACAGATCAAAGTCCTGAAGGATATTCAGCCTGTCCAAAAATAAAATGCAAATTACACCACAATCCCCTTGTAACAAGCCAACTAAACACTAAAGTAAACCTTTATGCAGACATAGCAGCCTTGTGAGCAACCTACAACCCCTCTTCATTACAAACCCAAAGGGCATCCCATTATCCTGGGAGCCCAACAAAAGATCTTTACCTCCTGAAACCAGTTGATAAAAACTTGAAGAGGTGTTTGCTTCCTGAAATTCACAGACACCAGTGCAAAACTATATTGTGCCCAGTGTCAATGCTTCTATTTTAAAATAGCACTGGAAGTATGCAGCAGCATAGTCAAAACAATTTTTAAAAAGCCATTAAAATGGAAGACAAATAGGTAAAAAGTTGCTGTTTGTAGATCATATAATCTCATATATAAAAAATCATACACAGTACATTTAAACATGTCTAAACTAATTAATATACTCAGTAAATTAGCAAAATATAAAATTAACATACATTTATAAGATAAACTTACACTTCCATAAACTTAAACTATCTGATAAAATAAAGGAGGAAAACAATCTCATGGACAATAGCATTAAAATAATAAATTTCTTAGAACAAATTTAACCAACGATCTAAAAAACCTTTACAATAAATGATATATCAATGGAGGAAATTAGAAAAGACACAAATTTTAAAATATTTTGTGCATATGGATTGAAAGAATAAATATTGTTAAAGTGCCATATTATCCAAAGTGATCTACAGATTTAATAAACTCCCTATCAAAATTCCAGTGGTATTTGTTTTCACAGTAATGAAAAATACAATCATAAAATTTACTTGAAACTTCAATAAGCTCTGAATAATGAAAGTAATCTTGAGGAAAAAGAACAAAGCAGGAGGACAACATACTTTATAATTTCAAACTGTATTTCAAGACTATAGTAATAAAAACAGGATGGAATGTGCAGAAAAAAATGAACAAAAAAATGAAACAGAAACCACTACTCTCACATATTTCAGACATGATGTAGAAAGAAAACTTAAAATAATAGTTTAACAGAGAGTTTCTTAAAATTTCACAGATATTTATGTGTCCGCCAAAACATTAAAAAAGCAGATTTTGTAGTCTTGTATATGCCAAAAAGGGGACTTTGGCTCTCACTGAAAACTAGAAAGATAACTGAAGGGAAAGTATATTCCTTAGAAAAGTTAGAAGGATAAGACAAAAGATACCCCTATGTAAGAGAAACAATAAAATAAAAAATAAACTTCAGGCTTCCCTGAAACTATTCTCCTTGGAGCACAACTCCCAAATTGTATTTCTTATTTTTATTCGTTTATATATTTATTTATTTATTTGAGATGGAGTTTCACTCTTGTTGCCCAGGCTGGAGTGCGATGGTGCGATCTCAGCTCACCACAACCTCAGCCTCCCGAGTAGCTGGGACTACAGGCATGCGCCACCACACCCAGCTAATTTTGTATTTTTAGTGAAGATGGGGTTTTTCCATGTTGGTCGGGCTGGTCTCAAACACCCGACCTTAGGTAATCCACCCGCCTTGGCCTCTCCAAATGCTGGGATTACAGACACGAGCCACCGCACCCGGCCCCAAATCGTATTTCAAAAACTGACTTTCTCCTTGACAAAAGGACCTCTCATCTGTGTCATCTGTTATATTCACTATCACCTACCTGGGGGTTTGGCCACCATCTCATGTCTCTCCATATTCCAGGGTTCTTTGCCTTGCTCCAGACAGGTGATCAGGTCTGGCTTAGAGACAGCAATACCTGTTTTATTAAAAATAAATAACATGAATGTTGCTCATATTCTTCAAATAATGTGCTCAGTAAAGAGAGTGTAATTAATAGAATAGTAAATTAATTACAAAATACTAATTTAAAACAGAAATTTCTAAATATTTAGACTTTTTTAAAATTTGTAGGTTCTTAATTTTACTACTTAGTATTACTGAATGAAAAACTGGAGATGACAATTAGATTTTAAGGTATACAAAACAATATTTTATGCCACTAAATTTCTGGAATTACCACTAATTTAGAGGGAAGGATACAGATCAGCTCAGAAATGTAAAAAGTCCAGATCAAGATGAAACATCTTGAATTATTTTTTCCTACACTGACAAATCCCCAAGATTTTCTTTCTCTTTTTTTTTTTTTGATTTGGAGTCTCACTCTGCCACCTAGGCTCCAGTGCAGTGGTGCAATCTCGGCTCACTGCAACCTCTGCCTCCTGGGTTCAAGTGATTTTCCTGCTTCAGCCTCCCAAGTAGCTGGGACCACAGGCGTGCGCCACCACAACTGGCTAATTTTTGTATTTTTTTTTAGTAGAGACGGGGTTTCACCATGTTGGCCAGGCTGGTCTTGAACTCCTGACCTCAGGTGATCCACCTGCCTTGGCCTCCCAAAGTGCTAGGATTACAGGCATGAGTCACTGCGGTTGGCCCCCAAGATTTTCTTAGAAATAGAGCTCTGATACTCATTTACAGAAAGATCAATTACCAAAAAACATTCTACCAAAAAAAAAAAAAAAAATCTTTAGGTTATATTAGCAATTGTATATTGAAGTTATTCTCACCCAGGAAGACCAGGTTTCTGTAGTTCTCTAACATCACGTTCCTATATAAATTCTGCTGTGCAGTGTCCAGGCATTGCCACTCCTCCACAGAGAATTCTATGGCCACATCCATAAATGTTAACGGTCCCTGAAAAGTACACACACACATATTTACCAAGTGGCCATGGGCGAAATTTTTAATTTGACTCAAGTTGAAATGAATGACTAAAAAGTACTGGTTCTGCCTTATAAAAGTGAATGAAATTACCCAAATGAAGTAATTTTAAAGACAGAAATATTATCTGATGTACTCTCTAACTCTGAGAAAAGACTAGAATAAGATCCACAACATCAATTTATATATGATACTTTTCTGGATAATAAAATATAAAATTAAGGGCACAAACACAAGCATGTACATTCTGGAGTGCTATATTCACACTATACAGAATGAGTTCTGTTGAGATGAAAGACATGTTGAGTTACAAGGTACATTTCAAATTTTAATGTGTAGAATAAACTGGAAATCTTGTTAGGCTTTTTTTTTTTGCAGAAGATCTGGAATAAAGTCTGAGTTGCTGAATTTTTAATATGTTCACAAGAAATGCCAATGATTTTGCCCCAAGAAAAATATTTTATCAAACATCCAATAAGTGAAATCACCTGTTTTTTCCCCCCAGTTTTCATGGCCTATAAGAGAGAGATGACAGTCTTCATTTTCCAAAGACAAATATATGGAAAGAAACCTTAAGAAAGAAGAGCAGCTGCCAGATTACATTTGATAATTTATACAAATCAGCTGCATAAAGATACTTAATAACGAAGAAAAAAATAACACTACAGTGAAAAAATTTGTCAGAGAGCTCTTTAACCGAGTGAATCATTAGCATCAACTGCACTAGGACAAATTTTCATAATGTGCTAAAACACTCAAAAGGACACAGCATTACTGCTGAAATATTGTTCCCAATAAGTAAATTATAGTCTAAATTCAACCATATTGAAACAACAGTTTTATGCAAACTTCAAGATACAGGTATCTTCTATCTTGATACAGGATATCTCAAAATACAGGAATCTTCTATTCAAGATCTTCTATGTTCTGTAATGTTTAATAGTGATTTTAAGTAGTCTTTCTTTAGCACCCTAGAGAACAGGTACCTTCTGATAATATTTTTTCAGAACTTTCTGGGTAATAAATGCCATCCTGTTTAAATAAGCATTTTCTAAATTCTGTTCTGCATAGGGCTAATAGCAAACACAAATGGAACTTCAACATTACATATTCTCCACCCTTACTAAGGATCCTAGCTTTTCCCCAACAGTAATCTTTGAGTATCCACACTTTTCCATGTTCAACAGCCACAAAAAGAACACTTTTAATACTGCAGATCATAAACTAATGGTGAGAATTCTGCAAGGCATATAAAAAGGCATAATTTTAAAAATTCATAAAAGACTCTGGTATATAGGAAAGAAATATTTTTCAGAGACCCTTGATTATCATAAGAATTTTTAAAAGTAGTTAAAACAAACTCATTAGAGAGAAAAAACCACAATTATAGAAGGCAAGGTTTGCAAGTACTAAACACATAGCATTCCAGGAGGCAGAGCGGACACAGCTCTTGATCTGAGACATGTTTAGCTGAAAAAAAAAAGTGCCACTTTTTCCTCTATCTCCTCCTTCTCTGGGATTTATTTTCAGATGAGATTTTCTAGACCAATTACACCTGCATCTTGAGAACATTCCACCTGTTTACATGCTATGACCACACCCACAGGCAGAAGGACCAACATCCTCAGAAAAAGTCCACCCATTTCTGGGTGAATCTTCAGAAAAGATTCAGAAATAATGAAGTGAAAAAGAGAAGTTTCTCCTTTCCCGTCCTTAGGTACGCTCCCCACCACAGACACCAGCAATTTCTGCTACAATAACGGTAATATGGGCCACGCTGCCCCGTCTTTACTAAACCCAAACAGAACAGGCCCTGTGACCATCCTTCAGCGGAAAAGTAAAACATAACTCTCATGAATGTATCTTGAACCCCTCATAGTTGATTCTGGCCTTACCTTAGAGTCACACGAGGCACTTAATTAAAACAACATAAACTTGTCCACACAAAACAAAAAACAGAACCTGTGAAGAGGGCACAAGTAAAGGGATTTCTAATAATTAGCCATGTAATCTGAGTGTCTACACCTAAGTAATCCACATTACTTAGAATGGCAAAAATGTCAATCAACTTTTGCACCAACCTAATAGAAGTCCGGCTGATAACCATTTAGCTAAGCATTGCCTTGCAATTTTTTTTTGAGATGTTGTTTTGCTCTTGTCACCCAGGCTGGAGTGCAATGGCACAATCTCTGCTCACCGCAACCTCCACCTCCTGGGTTTAAGAGATTCTCCAGCCTCAGCCTCCCAAGTAGGTAAGATTACAAGCACCTGCCACCATGCCCGGCTAATTTTTGTACTTTTAGTAGAGATGGGGTTTTACCATGTTGGACAGGCTGCTCTCAAACTCCTGACTTCAGGTGATCCACCCACCTCGGTCTCCCAAAATGCTGGGATACAGGCATGAGCCACCACGCCCGGTTGTCTTGTAATATTTAATAAGCATATAAATCACTTGGTAACTTTGGACTTTCCCCATGTAATGTGATTCTGCAGGTTTTCAAAGGGTTCATGAATGTGTTTTAAATAAGTCCTCTGTCAATGCTGATGTTGCTGCTTATAGGCTCATCATTAGCATTAGTTAGAGAAGCAGGCACTGTCCCTTACACTCAGCACTCTTGTCACAACACAAATACTTCTGGCACAAATGAAGACAACTAATCTCCATCTTTAAGTATCATATTCTTTGCTGGTTCTGTAAAGTTTACAGAGGCAACATAAAGTAGCAACGCCTGTGCTCAAGAGTATGCTACAGAGCACTATGCTTGGAATAACACATTATGTGATTTAATTCTCATAACAAACTGGGAGTTAGCACAGATGTTTAATAATTCCCAGGATTTAGATTAAGGGCTCAGCATTTTTATTTCGTCTTCCGTTTCTCTGTCCTTGGTTTTTAAAAAATGTATAGAATACTAAATATTGACAGATGAGAGGGATACAGAAAGAATTTAATGTAGTTTAAAGAAATTTTTATTGTGTTCATATTTACTTGTTTGTGACTTGTGGAGCAACTACTGGATCTGCAGGAATAGAAAACAAGTTACTAAATAAAATGTCTCTGCAAGTATTGGTTTAACAGAAAATTCAAAAATTAAGATGCTAAAATACATACTTTATTTTTCTAATTTTATCTTTTCGGGTTTCAGAAAATTGTGAGCACCAGCTCTAAAAAATGTAACAGATTCACCAGCCAAAACTTCCAATCAGTCAGTTCTGTGAGGCCAGACTTCAAGGTGGGGCCAGACAAAATAAGAGGTAAAATGGCTGATTGCTACCCTGTGAAGTTTGTAGAAATCTGAAGTGACTGGAAGCCTGAGAGGAAAAGGCTCCTCTAGAGTAAAGTTTGGCTGGAACCGTATGTGTTTATATCATGTCTAGTAATTCTAGACAATGTTTGGAAAATATAATTAAAAGAAAAAATTTCTCCAGCCCTAGAGAAACTCCAAAATGATAGAGCAGAAAGTAAACTATTTCATTACACAATTAAACCAGAATGTGACATGCATCACAGTCAATCTTCTTAAGAGACTGCAAAGACAGAAAGACACTTCCATAATTAGTCCACAAGTAAAAGAATTCACAGCACCATGTAATACATGGTTCATCCTAAATTCACCTGGTAATGGGGGAGGCGATCCATGTATGCTAATTGGTTATATTCAATGACAAAATTAACTTTTCACATCCTCATGACAGGAAGTAATTTTGCAACTTAGTAGACTCTGCTTGTCCTTTCCTGACAGCCAGTGTCCTCTCTTGACTCTTACCACAGGGCTCACAGCTGGCAGCTCACATCTTACATGAACCCCAACTACCAGAGCAGCACTCTAGTCTCACATCAGGTAATGAAGCCTGAGGTGCAGGAGGAGAGCCTTCAGTCCTCCTAGGTAAAATTGCACCTTCACGATAATGGGAATGGGAGCAGTGTTTCAGCTTCAGTTTCTATTTATAATGGTGACATGAAAAAAATACTGCTGGATTTTCAGCATGAGTCCACGTAGAGAGTTCTCCCTGTGACAGCCCACCTCATTCACAGACACCACGGGATAGTAATAGGGCTTCTGAAACAGACATCCAAAGCACTGGAGAGAAAAATCGCTCTTCATCTTAGCAAAATTATATTGAGAGTACAAAAGAAGAGCATCTTTAAAAAAAAAAAACTCAGGGCCGGGCGTGGTAGCTCAAGTCTGTAATCCCAGCACTTTGGGAGGCCGAGACGGGCGGATCATGAGGTCAGGAGATCGAGACCATCCTGGCTAACACGGTGAAACCCCGTCTCTACTCAAAAGAATACAAAAAACTAGCTGGGCGAGGTGGCGGGCGCCTGTAGTCCCAGCTACTCGGGAGGCTGAGGCAGGAGAATGGCGTGAACCTGGGAGGCGGAGCTTGCAGTGAGCCCAGATCGTGCCACTGCACTCCAGCCTGGGCGACAGAGCGAGACTCAGTCTCAAAAAAAAAAAAAAAAAAAAAAAAAAAACTCAGATTAGATATAGGATTAATCATGTTGGCCAGAAAATGTTCCCCTAAAATAAACATCTCTCTAAACACCCAAACTGCACAGCTACTCTCAGCATGATAAGCATGAGCATTATGAAGAAAGGGGACATATCCTCAGCAAAATTTTATAAAAGTTCTCTTTTATCTCTGCTGCTCTCTTGTCTCCTAGCCATTAAATGGGGGATTTATATTGGAATACATCTGACAATTTCCAACAGCACTTTTTATTTGTTTATTTATTTTTTGAGACACAGTTTTGCTCTCTCACATATGCTGGAGTGTAGTGGTGTGACCTTAGCTCACTGCAACCTCCACGTTCCAAGTTTAAGCAATTCTCCTTTCTCGGTCTCCTGAGTAGCTAGAATTATAGGCGCCCACCACCACCCTCCACTAATTTTTGTATTTTTAGTAGAGACAGGGTTTCACCATGTTAGCCAGGCTGATCTCAAACTCCTGACCTCAAGTGATCTGTCTGC